TTTCTGCTCAACCTCCAGGTGCTACAGTGGGACAGTGGATACCATTCCTGCCTAACAGGGGTATGTGCATGGGTTGTGTAAGGAAAGGGGATCCAACAGAAACCCTTTGTCAAATCAAAACCTAGACTCCCTCTGTGGCGCCCCCTTGTGAAGAGACAAGTGGAAAGTGATTCTTCTTTCTGATAGACTTTCATTTCGTACCGAGTTTCCCTCTCTCTCTCTCTCTCTCTGTTTCCCCCGGTAGTTCTTCGTCTCCCATGCGTTTAAGAACCAGACACCAATCATTTTTCGACACAGTCTACAGTTCCAGCTCGTAACCCCGGACAGTCTTCAGTGTTCAGTTCCCGTCAGTGCAAGCGCCCATCATACCTGGGGAGGACCAGGAGCACCTCACACCTGTGTCCTCCTCACAGATGCTGCGATGGTCATCAGACCAGAACATCTCAGTTCTTTGTCAAGAGGCTCCGCTCTTTACACCTGCACGCTTCCCTCTCACAGAGTCTGTGTCCCACTGTTTCCAGATCACTCACTTCATCTGCGACTGAGGGAGGTGAGGCTTGAATGGAGACAGCGGGGGGAAAAAATGAAGAAGAAGAGGAGAGGAGCAGAGGCCAGAGTACGGTAGGAGAAGCTGGAATATCAGAGGAAAGAAGATGAGATGATAAAGAAAGAGAGACAAGAGGGGGGGAAAAGATGAGAGACGAAAAGGTCAGGGAAGAGGAGAAGGGAGAGAGGGAATTGAAAGGAGGAATTGTAGCTGGCTCAGATGAAGAGGAGGAGGAGGAGAAGGAGGAGAAAAGTGGGGAGGCACCCAGCCCGACACCCTCAGGGGTTATTGGGTCGTGGACAGCCAATCTCTCTCGGCTTAATCAACAGCAGCAGAGGTGATTGCAACACCGCAGGGGACTGCTGGGAAAAAAAAGATGGAAGGAAGAACGGAGGGGTGGGGGGGGACCAGATAGAAATGAATGGGGAAGGTGTGCAGAAGAGGGGAGGCGAGGGGTGATGAGGAAAAGATTAGAAAGGGATGGGGGGGCCAGGGATGAGGATGGAGGAGAAAGATGAGGGAGGAGAGAGGATTGGACAAGGTACCAGTGGGAAAAGAGAAGAGGAAGGAGAAGTCAGAGGAGGAAGGTCAAAGGGCCTGTGGAAATAAAGATGGAAAGCAGGAGGAAGTTTAAAAAAAAGAGACAAAAACTGACATTTTAAAGCCATTGAAATCAAACCTTCTGATTTCAAAACATTTTCTTTCAGATTTTGGGAATAGATATGGAATTACAGCGCTAAATTCCTGTTTAAGGCCTGTGGCCGGCGAGTAATCGTGGCACTTGGACTGTTTTTATGATGTCAGCAAATCAAGGAAATCACTGTTTTTTTAACTGCATGGAAGAGAAAATAGGGCCCAGAAAGACAAAAGTGTAAAAAAGATTTAAAAAAAAAAAAAAAAAAAATCTATTTTTTAAGGCCACATAATGCTGTTTATGCAGGATTTTAACTTTGACCTATTTGTTGGCTATCAGCTACTTATTTTAGCATTTTTGCTAACACATGCCAACTATTGCACTAGGAATTGAGACGGCGGAGCAACAGAAAATGGCAAAAAAAGAAAGAAAAAAAAAAATCGGTCAGTTACACCTGGAGCAAAGAGGCCCATTTTTTATACTAAGGTAGTTTTTATATTTATATATATGTGTTTCTTGATTTGTCTAAATTCAGGGAAAGAAAAAAAAAAGTTTTTTGAGTACACAAACAATATGGCATCATCTGTCAAGAGTTTTACTCAAAGCACAAAACCAGCAGAAATTGTCTTATTTTACAGGAAGACTGTTCAAGCTTGATTACACGCACTCAAATGTTTCGGAAAGATGAAAAAGAAGACAACAGAAGTGTTCCTATACACATTCAGAAAAACAAAATAAAAAACACCATGACCATGTTATTTGAAGAAGCTTCCATTCACCGAGTGAACGTGCCGACACTCGATGTGAAGAAGCTTCCATTCACCGAGTGAACACGCCGACACTATGAACTAGAAAACAAGTTTATACATTTAGACCTCCACATGTTCCTTACGAAACATGCATGGTTGGTTTTTTTTTCTTAAACCAGGTGTAAAAGGCACATCAAAATAACTAAGGTCACCAGCTGAGGGGCTACACTTCACTTTCAAAAAACCTTAACATAAACTCTGCCCTTGGAATTCATTCACTTTAAATTGGGTGACACTGTTCTTGGTTCATTTGTCTTTTGGTAAATCAAGGATTGGACAAGTGGGAAAAGGTCTTATTAACATTTAAGACTTTGAGGTAAGATTTTAATGAAATTCTAAAATGCAGCTTGACCAAGACGGTTGTTTAGTGAAACTATAGGTTCAATTAAAAAATAGTTTTCTAATAATCTCTGCAGTACTTCAAGTCTACAGTATAACCTCAATGCAAAACATGTTGCTGTGATGGAATGGAAACCAGAGCTAACATTAGCTACAACAGTCCTGGCACAGACACCAGAGCTAACATTAGCTACAACAGTCCTGGTAAAGACACCAGAGCTAACGTTAGCTACAAAAGTCCTGGTAGAGCCACCAGAGCTAACATTAGCTACAACAGTCCTGGCACAGACACCAGAGCTAACATTAGCTACAACAGTCCTGGAACAGACACAAGAGCTAACATTAGCTACAACAGTCCTGGAACAGACACAAGAGCTAACATTAGCTACAACAGTCCTGGTAAAGACACCAGAGCTAACGTTAGCTACAAAAGTCCTGGTAGAGCCACCAGAGCTAACATTAGCTACAACAGGCCTGGTACAGACACCATAGCTAACGTTGGCTACAACAGTCCTGGTACAGACACCAGAGCTAACATTAGGACACTAATGTACAGACAAACTGTGTACCAGCCCACAATACACCAGAACCACACAAAAAAAGTCTTGAATAGCTCCAAATGTACTTTGAGTTTATAGTATTCTGTGAATATAGCAGATAGGTGGAAAATGTACAGATGCATTAAGCTGAAACATATAGAAACCTTAAAATATCTGGCCATAATGATAGCAACAACAATCTACTGGTTTCTGTCATTCAGTTTACCACCTCAAACACAGCCCCAAAATTACACACACTGGGAAGGGGAAACACGGTCAGAAGTCCAGCTACTCTGCCATTTGAAAACATGGAAGACCACAAAAATGTTTTTCAGTCACTCCCAACTCCCTCTATCTATCTATCTTTTTCGGGGTTGCGGGGAGCCAAAGCCAGTAGCCAACACCTGAAGGGGAGTGGAAACCCTGGACAGTTCTCTAGTCCATCACAGGGCAACGTACAACCATTCACATCAACACATATGGTCACATATGATGCACATGTGATCTTCGTATCGTAGGGCGAGAGCGATAACCACTTCCTCCACCACGAGACCCCAAACAAACTTTTCCTCGTTTACACTTTCAGCAGTATCTGCACACAATGAAACATGTACATACTTTCTTATACTGTACGTACAGTGGAACTTCTTAAAGCCGAGGCTACTACACAACAATATACATATCTAATGAATGTAAGGTGAAAAAGGTACATTGAGAATTCCCTCAAGTTTGGCTGTGTGAAGTACAAACCTGTACCCACACCAAAGTCCATAGAAGAAGTCATGGATTTTTTCCCACTACTGCCACCTGTCTTCAGTTTGTATCATGTAGTAAGATAAAACCCAGTGTCTCACACACAGAATTGACAGAAGAGTGCATTTGAATTATCTACAGACGGTAGCAGTGGATCAACACAGGCCTTGAAACATAATGTTAAAATGTTGTTTTCCCTATTTGGACTTCAGTGCATTTTGAATCAAATTTAAGTCTTCCTTCGATATTCTACAAAGTCAGTAATGGCAATGTGTTAAACTATCATACCCCACTCTTTAAAAAACATAAAGCAGGACTGTCCCTTTAGAATTCCACAGAATCTTTGAAAAAAGTATGTTAATTACCCTTTATGTTTTACAATCTGCCAGTGTTTTAACTGTACAGGGGAAAACCAAAAACAAAACAAACTTCATTCTTTTTCAACATATTCAGCACCAGCATTGATGAGGGATCAACAGTAGGTGGTGCTCATGTTCACAGCAGCGTGTCTTTTTAATGCCACTTTTTTTTTTCCCCCCACAAAGCTGATGCTCAACAAACATCTATATTGTCTTTTTTTTCTCAGCACCAGCAACTGTAGAGGCGGGGCTTCAACGGTCTGCACCAATCACACAGCTGGGAATGATCGCACAGAATGGGCCGAGCCACGCAGTTGAAACGCCAGTGGTGTGAAGCGGAATGAAAAATGCGAAACCAAATACGATTTCAATTTGCGTTGTGCGTGTGCGCGGCGTCGTTACAGTCTCCAATGGTTGCCTAGGCAGCACGATTGAGACATAAACAGCGTTTCTGATGGAGGTTCGCAGAGGCAGTGGTTAGGACGGTACTACAAGCAAAGCAGGAAGTATATAAAAAACAAATACACAAAATAAGCTGTTAGGCTGGATATTTAAAGCGTTCAAACTTTTCCATTTAAAA